GCACCTGTGTGTGTGTGTGTGTGCATGTGTGTGTGTGTGCACGTGTGTGTTTGTGTTTGCGTTTGTGTTTATGTGTATGTGTATGTGTATATGCATGAGTGTGTGTGTGTGTGTGTTTGTGGGGGGGGGCTGTCTATGTGTGTGTGTGTGTGCGTACGTCTGTGTGTTTGTGGGGGCGGTTGTCTATGAGTGTGTTTTGTTTTTTTTTCTGTTTTTTGTGTTTTTCATTTTTTTTAACATACATATGAACTTTAAAAATAAAAATAAAAAATGGGGTTGTAGATCTCCAAACGATCTGCAACCTTATAGTTTTTTTTAATTTTTTTTGTTTATTGGTTGCCTACCAAACAATCTCCGTGAAAAAAAAAGAAAAACCCACCCATTTCATCTTTTTGTTTTGTTTTTTTCTTTCTTTTTACGTTTTTGATTTATTTAAAAATAGCAAAACTTCAAAAAATAAAATAAAAAACATAAGGTTGTAGATCTCGAAGAGATCTACAACCCTGTATTTTTTGTTTTGTCTTTTGAGCATGTTTTACCCCCCAAAAAAATATCCCCGCGCCCGCTCAAACCCCGCTCAAGGCGCTTTGAGCGCGGGATTGAGCGGCGCTCAAAATCTTTAGCGCCAACCGCGCGCTCAATCAGCGCTCTGTTTCACAGCTGTTAACCCAGCCCTATTCAGCAGCCCCCCACTGGACATAGACACGTACTGATATATAGACTTGAAGACTTAAAGACCTAAAGGCTGTCCTAACTGTAGATATCCTTGCACCTCTTCCTCCTATTCTCCTGTCTTGTTCTGTCCTCCCCTCTTCCTCTTTTTCTCCTTAACTCATTATAGTTTGACCGTACTCCTATGCCGCCATCCATTCGCTTCTTTCACTCCTGTCTTTATTAAACCCTGCTTAACCCCTACTTCTTCCCGAGAGCCCATTCTGCATCCAGCTTCCTCTGACTTCTGCTTCATTGGTGAGGCTGCGGAGGTCCATCCAGGCTGGAACTTCATGTGGGGATGTATGGGCAGTGGTCAGGTAGGGAGGTCTGGGCTAACAGTGCCCAGGGAGGAGGAGGAGGG